AGATATATCAGCATCAAATAAATATTTAACAATAGGCACATTATTTGCCGAAACAGAAGGTTTTATAAATGCCATCCAAGATCAAGTCATCAGTACTAAAAACTATAGAAAATTTATAATTAGAGAACCAAATCTTTTAAATGACAAATGCAGAAAATGTAATTTAGTACCAGAAACTATACAGCATATCACAGGAGCATGTCAAAACTTAGCATCAACAGATTACACCCACAGGCATAATCAAATTGCAAACATAATACACCAAAAGATAGCCCAGAAACATAAACTCATCGATAACAATTTACAACCATACTACAAATATAAACCCAAACCTGTGTTAGAAAACACCTCACATAAACTATATTTCGATAGAGCCATACTTACTGATAAGACCATCCATTACAATCGACCCGATATAGTTTTGCAAGACAAACTTAACAACATAGCCTTTCTAATTGACATAGCTGTACCAAATACGCATAATATTCAAAAAACAATAGCCGAAAAGATTAGTAAATATAACGAACTGAGCGAAGAAATAAAAAGAATATGGAAATTAAATAAAGTTTTCATCGTCCCAATTGTACTCTCAGCTACAGGATTAATACCAAAATATTTGCATCACTGCCTTAAGTTATTAGATTTACCCTCAAATTTATATATTAAAATGCAAAAAGCAGTTATTTTAAATACATGTCGCTTAGTGCGAAAATTTTTACAAATCCCAGAAACTGCTCTGGATAATACATTAATAATACCAGCAAATGATGACTACTTGGCTTAAAGCCCGTATCATCATAATACCCTACATGGAGAAAAAAAAGAGAAAAGAAAAAAAAAATAATAAAAAGGAAAAGTCCGGGGCTCGACGGGCTGCATCACTACTGGCTGAAGGGGTTCGTGGTGTGTCACGCTGTGCTCGCCCGACAATTTCAAGAGGCTCTCGACCAAAAGTCGCTCCCGAGCCTCTTCACTACTGGGATCACTCATTTGGTTCCTAAAGACCGGGATACCATAGACCCGAGCAAATACCGCCCCATCACGTGTCTACCCACGATATATAAGACACTAACATCCATTTTGAGCGCGAGAATCACTCGTCACCTGAACTCAAATCAGGTGATGTCGCGCGCTCAAAATGGATGTCGGGGCGGTGGTCGTGGAACCAAGGAACCACTCCTCATTGACGCGGTCATTGGCAAAGTGGTTAAACGCAACCGTCGGAACCTATCCGCCGCCTGGATAGACTACAAAAAGGCATTCGACTCGGTGCCTCATACATGGCTGGAGAGGGTCCTCGAGCTGTACAAGGTTGACTGTACAGTTAGAGACTTCCTTGGGCAGTGTATGGGGCAGTGGAGTACGATCCTTTGTCATCTAGGCGAGCGGATGACGGCTGCGGAGAACCACATAAGGATAAGAAGGGGTATCTTCCAGGGCGATTGTCTGAGTCCAATCTGGTTCTGCCTCTCTCTGAACCCTCTCAGTACCTTACTGGAGGGCTCCGGGAGGGGATTTCAGCTTCGGAGGGGAGGTACAAAAGTGACCCACCTTTTCTATATGGATGATCTCAAGTTATTCGCCTCCAGTCGCTCTCATCTTATGGAATTGCTAAACATCACTTGTGATTTTAGCAATTCTATTAGAATGGAGCTGGGGACGGATAAGTGTGCGGTCCTCCATGTTGAAAGGGGAAGGGTTGCTAACTCTGAGGGCATAGATTTATCTATGCCCATCAACATAAGGACCCTTTCCGAGGCTGAAACATACCGATACCTGGGTATGTCACAGAACATCGGTGTAGATGAGGCGGGTATGAAACAGTCAGTTTGCGATGTGTTTTATGCACGCTTGACCAAAGTGCTTAACAGCCTTTTGTCCGGTGTGAATAAGACGCACGCATATAACGGTTGGGTCATGCCTGTTCTCATGTATACCTTTGGCATACTTAGGTGGACTCAGACCGAACTAAACGCTCTGGACAGAAAAGTCCGCACTATAATGACGTCCCACAGGATGCATCATCCGAGATCGTCAGTAATGAGGCTGTACTTGCCGCGGAAGCATGGCGGGCGCGGCTTTTTAAGCGCGCTTACCATGCATAATCGCGAAGTGTGCAGCCTCCGTAATTACTTTCTGACGAGAGCGGATGATCCATACTATAGGGACGTTATTTCTTGTGATAAAGGACTGACCCCTCTATCCTTAGCCAACGAGCAATGGCAAGACCCAGCAGTACAGTGCATTTCCGACCGGGAGACCGTATGGAAGGAGAAGGAGCTCCACGGGAGGTTCTACAAGGCTCTACATGAGCCTTTCGTAGACACAGTCGCCTCCCTTCACTGGCTACGTTTCGGTGACCTCTTTGGGGAAACCGAGGGTTTTGTCTGTGCGATACAGGATCAGGTTATTAAGACCAACAATTATCGGAGATACATCCTAAAGGATGGCGCCGTCGACATCTGTCGAGCTTGTCGCCATCCCGGTGAGTCACTTAGGCATGTCATCTCCGGTTGTTCGGCGCTTTCTAACTCTGAGTATTTGCACAGACACAATCTAGTAGCCAGGATTCTACACCAGGAGCTCGCTCTGAAATACGGCCTCGTGGATCGGAAACTGCCGTATTATAAGTACTTGCCGGAAGCCGTGCTCGAAAATGACCGCGCCAGGCTCTACTGGGACCGGGCCATCATCACAGACAGGACTATTCTTGCGAATAAGCCTGATATTGTGCTGATGGACCGGGCACAGTCAAGGATCTTTTTGGTCGACATTACCATTCCTTATGACGAGAACCTCGTGAAAGCCGAAACAGATAAGGTGACAAAATATCTGGACCTGGCTCACGAGGTTACCGGCATGTGGGGTGGTCTGCCGACCGAAATTATTCCTGTGGTCGTTTCTGCGAATGGGTTAATCCCAGTCAGCCTCCCGGGTCATCTGAGGCGGCTGGGACTCCGTGACGGACCGCTCCAGGCTCAAATGCAGAAGGCGGTGCTCCTCGATACCGCCCGCATCGTCCGCCGGTTTCTTTCCCTTTCCCCCTAACCCTCGGCCGTCTGGTCTCCCCTGCCGAGGGCTTCCATCTGGTTGGGTTTTTATATATTTATGTATTTTTTATGTATTTATTTTATTTTATTCATATTTATGTATGTTTACCATTTTCATTTACAATTATATATTTATACTGCCCAACCAGATGAGAAAACTTTATAGATACCCCAAAAATAATAATAAATTTTGATTCCAAGATAATTTAACTTTTTTATGAATACATTGAAATACACGCCTGTTATAAAAAAATAGTAGATGTTTCTAGACATATGATATTAATGCAAGTCTGAAAAACCTTTTTATTCATGTGTTCATATAGCATATTATATCTATGCCAAATATCACTCATCTACGTCCTTTTAAGAGTTCAAAAATGTCTCCCGCAATAGGGATTTGTTCAAGCAATGGCAATGGCGTATTTTTTTTTGTCATTAAAAACTGCTTTGTAAAGTCTGTGGTAATGACCTGGTGAGATTATAAGGAAGCTATGTCTAGCAATGGGATAGTTTATAAAATAAGAGATAATGTTGTTATTTGAGCAACCCACTACAAGCGAAGTAAGTATTTTAACCTCCATTTTGGGTTCTTACGTATTATATACGCATACCTGCTACTACTACTATAGCCGTGGTAGCTCAGATGGTTAGCGCTCGCTGTAAGCTTCACAGTACTCGAGGCTCGAGCAACCCGTGTTCGATCCCGCCGGCAACAATGAAATTGTTAATTGCAATTTTAAGTGCTGATTTACCACGTGCTCGGCGGTGAAGGAAAACAGCGTGAGGAAACCTACATGTCTGAGAAATAAGAAAAAAAAATATTTCGAAGACATGTGAAGTTCGCCAACACGCATTGGGGCAGCGCGGCGGACATTTCCATGACCTAAAACCCTCTCAGAAATGAGAGGAAGCCTGTGCCCAGCAGTGGGACGTAAATAGTAAGACCTAAACTTTACTTTACTTTACATGCTACTTCTACTATAAGGTACGCCAGATTATTAATATAATTGTTTTTGTGAATCTTCTACCACCTTTAACATATGAAAACTATTGAGAAAGTAAATATTTACATTACCTTATAATTAAAAATCAATTGTTACAGTGTAAATTGTCTTTCTCATTTTTATTTAATCTTCCATAACTCAGTTTCTAGATTGACAAATCTCGCCAGATTTTCAGCTATGAATTATTTATATGTAATCTTTTAAATGGTCCAACTTTTATCTGGGCCCAAGTATGTGTGCAAACGTCCCCGTATCGTTTGAATACTAGTATGTTTAATTTGAGAATCTTGTCAGTCGATATTGTGGTGCATCACTTGCAAGTGGATATTTAAAGACAAAATGAGTACATATTATATTCCCCTTTACATTAATTTATTCACGAAGATTTCATGTCGGAATTTCTAAGAGTTTTTAAGATACTTTTATAGATTGTTTAAAATGTTCCTATAAACAAGCGGCGACGGTTATGTTTATAATTGTAATTTTAGAATAGGCATTACTAGCGTAAGTATTTGTTGTGTAAAGTTGTTTGTTGTAAAACTGACTGCACAGTTTTCAGCATGGCCAACAATAAAAATGTGTACGACCTTCGAGCTACCTACCAAACCCGCAGTAGGAAGTAACAAAAAATAAGAAATCTGAAGTAAGAAATAGAAAAATATGTATACCACTGGTATACATATTTTTCTATTTACATTCAGACACGAACACACACACACACACGCGCGCGTATACAATCAAAATTCTACCGACATAACAGACTTCCACGTTTATAATATTATATGGACAGTGCTCGGAACATATTTAAACACTTATAAACAAAAACGATATTTTGTAACAAAAGCGTAGGTGTTTAGTATGTACAAAAGTTTATTTTATGTAATTTTATTAAATAAAAATACAGACTTTAAAATAATTTAATATATTAATTAAATTATTAATATATCTAATAATAGTTTTTCGATGACAGTTGATATGGTCCGTCGAGCTCAAATTCGTCATATTCTGGATAATGCGACCCCTCAACCTTGGAAAACACTGAAAAACAAAACAAAGGAAAATTCATTCTCATAGAATAAACAATGGAACGCCCAATAGACAATGGAGTTACGACTCGTTATCTGAATCTAATTAGGCATACTTGTAATATTGTTTATTTTATCTGTTTTACACAATGCTTCTTTCGCTGTGAATTTATTTTTAAAAAAAATCTTGCTCGATAGCAAAAAGTACGCTTAGATTTTAATGTTACTTTAAAATTACACATAATATATGTTTCTAGTCTTCGATGACAGAAATATAGAGCGATATTATATATATGCACGTATAGAAAATATACAAGTAGTTGAATTTGAAACGTCTATATGAAGCTAAAGCACCAGTAGATGCTCCGCTACTGTAATATAAAGAAATTGTAATGTATTATATTAACCATTTTAGTGGTTGAAAAAACACAAAAAGTATGTATTTATCATGCGCTGTGATGATCCTAGTGAAAATACTGAGTACAAAGTTATAAAATTAGTGCATTGTCATCAGTTCAGTAAATGAGATAATACGTCTAAAAAAAATTCAGATTAATAAGACGTCTGGATGTGAGTGTAAACTCAATTATGAAATATAATAATAATAACTTTCATACATACATACGTACAGCCCTATAAAGCGTGTAATAAATAAAGTTAAACTTCTACATATTCATTAAACTTTTTAAATACAAGTATTTATTTTGCATTTTTTAAATAATTTTTTCATTGAAATTTAAAGCCATTTACATTCAAAGTAATATTTATTGTTCTTATATTCTTTTTTAATTTTTTGAAGTCAGATTTAATTTTTTATTAAAAGTTTAATTATTTGATCCTTTTAAGTGGATTGAGAAATAATGCAAGCCTTCTCCTATGTCATCGCCTCTGAATTATAATAAATTCGTACTAGTGGTCGCCTATTGGTCGAAATTAGACCGTTTTTTATAATAAGGAAGCTGTATTTCACTTATTACTATTACACTACACATTAATTTATAAAACCCCCACTTCTAATATGCAAAATATAAAATAAACCTTTTTTCGCCTTGACATACACTCCACACACTAATAAAAAACATTTGAAGTCAAACAACTTTTTTTATTCTATATAATTTTTAATGGAGACAATCTGTCGGTTGTTATTTCTCTACTCTGTACGACTGTTTGACGATAGGCTATTGTTTGATATTGGCCTCAAAGTAATAATATACTTAAGCTAGTATACTTACTTTGAGTCATTAGTGGTATGAATGTCAGCAAACAACATAATTTGTCCAATCGAAAATTATGTTTGATATTGGCAATTTAGGCATTATCAATATATAAAGTAAGTAGTGTATGTAAGGTTTAGTTTTCTTTTCTGTTCACTCCACAGTCTAACAACTGCCACAGAATATATAACTTAGGCTGTGCCTTCTCCATATGACTTATAAACGCTATCCATGTCAAATCTTACACGTCTCCATGCGCGCAATATACTTAAAAAGAGGTACAAATTTTCAAAGATAACAAAACTTGCGTTTTGTTTTTATATAAGTAGGTAGTTAATTTAATTTTTAATTTTTATTATAATTTTTCTTTTTAAACTATTTTGTAGTCAAATACCGATATATATACATATATAAAAGAATTATTAAGATCAGTTAACAACTAACGAAGATATCGTACGAAAACATACACTCGAATTAATTTCTTTACTTTATTAATTTCCTTTTTTAAATATATTATGTTATATCCCGTTAAAAATGCCCCAATTCGTGTTGGCAAACTTCACATATCTTCAAAACATATTTTTTTCTTATTTTTCAGACATGCAAGTTTCCTCACGATGTTTTGCTTAGCCACCAAGCTCGTTTTAAATTGCTGACTTGAATTTTTATTACTAATGAGTTTAAAATCTCATTATATAAATGGGGACTGATATAGCTTAGTCAAACGCTTACTTAAAAGTCATGGATTGAACTAATAGAAAGGTTTATATAACAAACCTCCACAATCTATTAAAGAATTGCCATTAGGTGTATTAAATAAAATTGGTAAATCCAATTGGGCATGCCTTAAGCGCATTAAAAAAAATTACGTATAACATGATTATACGGAATTTTTTAAAGTAGTTTAAATACATATCGACAGCACTATCGGCTTCAACACCCTCGAAGACCATGAAAATGACACCCATGATGAAAAAATTTATATCTATTGCAGCCGCCATCTTGGATTTACATTTCGACAGCACTATCGGCTTCAACACCCTCGAAACCCATGAAAATTATACCCATGATGAAAAAATTGATACCTGTTGCAGCCGCCACCTTGGATTTACATTTCGACAGCACTATCGGCTTCAAAACCCTCGAAACCCATAAAAATTACACCCATGATGAAAAAATTGATACCTATTGCAGCCGCCATCTTGGATTTACATTTCGACAGCACTATCGGCTTCAACACCCTCGAAAACCATGAAAATGACACCTAAGGTGAAAAAATTGATATCTATTGCAGCCGCCATCTCGGATTTACATTTCGACAGCACTATCGGCTTTAACACCCTCGAAACCCATGAAAATTACACCCATGATGAAAAAATTGATACCTATTGCAGCCGCCATCTTGGATTTACATTTCGACAGCACTGTCGGCTTCAACACCCTCGAAAACCATGAAAATGACACCTAAGGTGAAAAAATTGATATCTATTGCAGCCGCCACCTTAGATTTACATTTCGATAGCACTATCGGCTTCAACACCCTCGAAAACCATGAAAATGACACCCATGATGAAAAAATTGGTACCTAATTCAGCGGCCATCTTGGATTTACATTTCGACAGCACTATCGGCTTCAACGCCCTCGAAAACCACGAAAATGACACCCATGATGAAAAAATTGATACCAGTTGCAGCCTCCACCTTGGATGTACATTTCGACAACCCTATCGGTTTCAACACCCTCGAAAACCATGAAAATGTCACCCATGACAAAAAAAATTATACTACTTACTTTTAGTACGTACTACTATTATTTATTCTGTGCTTTTAAAATATTGTAATAAAAAAAATCTCTCATTATTATTATAATCAAGTATTTAAGAAATTTGGTTATTCGAATATTGTGTATTTGTACAGCGAGCTCCCGCCTATTTAGAAAAATAATTTACATACAAGGCTACTACTTAACGAAAATTTCGCCATTTTGGAGCCGAAAAAAATTTATTATAGCTAAACAAAACAAAATTACATTGCCATTTACATTCAGTGGCTTCTCACATGATAGATGAAGAAATTAAAAAATAGATTGAGTTAAACAATTGATATTTTAAAAGTTATCGTGTTTACAAGCCTTGCGGACTTGATAAATCCACACTATAAGCCACTAAAACCCCTTTTTTTATTTAAAAACTAGCTGTTCCCCGTGACTTCGCCCGTGTGTACTTTAGGTTTTTATTTTTTGCACGGAACACTAATTCTTTTTCTAAAAAAAAAATAGTCTAAGTTACTCCTTGTAACATCAGCTATCTGCCAGTGAAAATCCCGTCAAAATCGGTGCAGTCATTTCGGAGATTAGCCGGAACAAACAGACAGACAGACGGACAGACAGACAGATAGACAGACAAAAACTTTAAAAATGGTATTTTTGTTATTAGTACCGTATATACTTTCATAGGCATATAATGCCAAGCTGTAATTTTGACGTTACAAACAGACACTCCAATTTTTTATATATATATATATATATATATATATATATATATATATATATATATATAGATAGATAGATAGATAGATAGATAGATAGATAGATAATATAAAGATAGCAATTAATCGATTTAACAAAAATATTAATAAGTTTAACAATCATTTATCTTTCTAACAATGTGCTTTTTATGTCATTTATATGTATAATATTATGATTGCAAGATACTATTTCATTCGATAAAACGTTGGAATCTTAATTTTTAGGCGATATTAGAACATACCTTGGGCTTTTGCTTAAGGCATGCAAAAATGTGTTTACTGTTAGCCGAATTTAATTACTACTTTGTCATGGAATTTCTTGGCTGTAAAATAAAAAAGTTAAGTTTTACGGAAATTGGCTTCTTGAATATATGTTGATAATATCCACAACATTTCTGCATGTCTAAATAAGACTAAGTATGTGATACGTAAAAGCATATACATAAATCAGTGGTAGGGCATACAGCCGCCCCAAGGAGGTAACGGATTCATCGTCTACAAAGCATTCATTAACAACGTTATGAAGATTAATGCGCTCACCTCAAGATATGAATGCTAGTTAGCATCTTCATAAGAACAGCTACTTATATCTAGCATAGAATAAAAAAACTGATAAAGAATTCACTTTCTTTTTTCTTTACAACTGCTGCAAATGTCATGGCGTATCAGTCTACAACGTTTTTACAAAATATTTACGTACCGTAGGGTGCTGGAGATGCATATATTATTTGATTAGGTATCACAGGCTTTGGTAGGTTTACGGGTATTACAGGCGCATGCTTTGGTAGGACCCGAAAAACAGGTTGCACTTGTGGTACTGGTCTTACATGTACCGGTCCTACTGAGTGTACACTCGGCCCAATCTTTGATACAACCGCATTAAATCCGTTAACGGAATCTGCTGTATAATCCACAGTACGTATAGATCCATCGGGCTCTACTAATGAGTATTGACCTGAAATTTTTCATATAACATAAAATAAAAAATAAACAAAAATATAAATATAAATTAAAAAAGCAAAAGTCGTAAAACCAATTTTAAACTTAAATTTGCTTAAATAGCAAATATTTATTATAACAAAAGTTTTAAGAAATAAATAAATTAACTTTAGCCTCACAATATATTTACATGTAAAAATAAAAACATAGTAGGCAGGTTTAATAAGAAAAGAGATCACACTTTTAATAATACTAGAAACAAATACATACTACTAATATTACTCCACTACAAAGAGTTATGTAGGATAAAAGGTTTAAGGTAAAATATATACACTTTTAAAGAAAAATCCCAGAAAATACTTGGCCAATAAACTAGATAAAAATTAATAACTAAAAACATAAGAATAACAATATAAAAACTGAACAAGAAGAGTATTCATATTATTAAGTGATGCTTGAATTAAGCTTGGTGGCTTATTTTGTGGCATTCCTTAGAGGATTATTATGTCCTAAAGTTAGAGCCTATATACGTCCCACTGCTGGGCACAGGCCTCCCCTCATATCTGACAGGGTTTTAAGGCCAGGAAATTTCCGCCGCGTTGCCCCAATGCATGTTGGCGAACTTCACATGTCTTCGAAATTTTTTCTTATTTCTCAGACATGCAGGTTTCCTCACGATGTTTTCCTTCACCGCCGAGCATGTGGTAAATCAGCACTTAAAATTGCAATTAACAATTCTATTGGTGCTGGCGGCGATCGAACCCGTACTCGCGGGTTGCTCGCGCACTGTGAAATTTACAGCGAGCTCTAACCATCTGAGCTTTCACGTCATATGTCTAGGAATGGATTTTATTGAACTAATGAAGAAGAAAAATAGCATGATAAAATATTAAAGAAAAATATTAAGTCTGTATATCTTCAGTGATTTACTTATATTTCTAAAAACTCTTTTGCACCCCTACACATAAAGTACGCAACTAATTACCTTTTACAACATCACCATCTCTACTTTCATGTTGAGACTTCACATCTCCGGTTGAGTGATCAGCGACTCCATAGGTGAAAGCGTAACTTGGGCGTTCCTGAAATAAACGATATTCTACATTATTTGTCATCAGTCCATAACAATCCATAACTGAACATGAACCTTTCCCTGAGTATGCTTTAGGAAATGCCATAATAGTTACATAACATATAATGCAAAAGAGATCCGTACGAGCGATTTATTACTTTATAATAACTTCAATTGTGAAGATTCCCTTAGAGAAAAATTTAAATAAATAAACTTTGGCAACGCAATATATTTATGAAAATGAAATGTATGTACATAAAAACATTATTAGTTTTGATAAGAATAAAGATGTGCATACTTTAAACACTAGGAACAAACATAAGCTTGTAATACCAGTTACTAGACTCCACAGAATCAGTAATTAATTTATGGGCAATGTCCACGCTTTTGCAACAAAATCCCAGAACATCTTCAAAGTTTGTCAATAAACAAATTTAAAAATTTTATTAAAGAATAATTGTACAAAAAGTGTTATTATAATATTAAAGAATACATGAATGAAAATAACCCCTGGGAATGAGGCATAGATTAGGAGGTAATCTATGGAATGAGGTGATCGCCACTTGGCTAATTGGTTATTGTAAAGTGAAATATGTTTTAAAAAAAAGTCCCGCTAGGTTTTTGCTGGTTCTTCTCAGGACAGAAGTATTTTCTGAACCAGTGTTAGTTAATTAAAAAAAGTACTTTCTATTAGTATTATGTAAAAACCAATATTGAATAAAAAAATATTCTATTCTAACGTCTCGTCTCTTCTAATAACGCAGTTACACGCTCAGTAATGTATTCTACACTCATATTAATATGTCACTATCCTATCGAAAATATATAAATAAACTAGCTGGCCAGGCAGACGTTGTTCTGCCCTTTTCGACGACCCTTCATATAAAAAATCCTTAAATTCGTAATAAAAAAATATTGAGCGTCACTTATCAGGATATAAAATATCCTATCTCTCAAGTTGGACCGAACTGCACAGAGTGTGCAAAATTTCATTGAAATCAGTTCAGTAGTTTAGGAGTTCATCGCGGACAAACAGTGTGACACGTAATTTTTATAAATAAAGATAAATATTGGTTTCTGGAATTTCTATATCGCGTGAAAATAAAAAAAAATGTGCAATACAGGAACATAAAAAAGCCTGGTAGTAATTTGTTACAAAATGTGTAGTATGTATACGCTTATGTAATAACAACTCTAATGATTTGAAGTGCGTATAACAACGCAACGCATGAGAAACAATCATTACAAAGGCGCCATTGTATAATATAAATTGGAGTTGAACGAGAAAATTATAATATGAAAAAAATAATGCAATGCGACAATGGTAACACTATTGTTGCGACATTGTTTACTATTTTCTTTTCTTTTCTAAATTTATAGATCCAGAAATTACTCGTGCGAATCAATTATATACACTTTATTTAATTTATCTCAGAATTTTTGATAAAACTGTATAATCATGTACAAAATATAGAATAAATAATTTTCAAATGTTGCGGATAAATATATAAATGACAAACTACAGATTTAAACTAAGAACACACCATAGTAATACTTACATAATAATCATTAAAACCAGGATTATAAACTGAACCTATCTTTGGTCTAGCAATAACTACTTTGATTATAACTAATAAGAAACATTGAAATCTCCACATCATTAAAGTATTCTATGTAACTATTAAAATCCTGATATACAACTGCCTTACAATATGTCTTATCCCAGAGTAGCACAATGGAGGGTTCACAGGCATTTATAAGTGGCCTTATTTGCCAGTGAGCGCTAGCCTTGGTGGGCGGGGCGAAGGTGCTTCCGAAAACGAAGTTTCCTCGGGCTCACGAGCGTCATGACTAATTGAGAAAAGTTTCGCACGGCTCAATGACCCACCACATACAGATTAAATATATGAGAGCGGACTAAACAGAATCAATTCATTAGAACGCTTCCGTAATTATGCATGAGATTATTTTCTCTGAGAAAGTAATAGATAATAGTTTGAGGTAGGATCACGTTTTTAATTTACACACAAATACATGATGTTCTTAAGATTTGGAAGTTTATATTTATTTATTTAATCTTTGGGGTAACAAAGAGCGGACTTAATACATTCAATCTTGGAGATTTTCGACTTTTATATAGATGAAATATTCTTTGTTTTGTTGAATACATTTAGGATAAAGCCAGAATGGAGAGCATTAAGAAAGGCTTATTAAGCAGTGTAGTGAAACGTGTATCAGCGTATGTAATAAAACACAACATAACATAAATTAATACACTTAATATTTTAAAAAGCTAATTTAGTACTGTATATTTATTTTCCTTTTTTTAAAACGTTACCCCCAGACTAGAATTTTCTCCTGTATCGTGGAGGCAGTTTACAAACATACATTACACGAGGACAAACATCCAGACCCGGAACAATTATTTGTAGGCCATACAAATACTTGTTCCGTGCGGGATTCGAACCCGCGGCCCCCGGCGCAACAACTCATTGGTAAGCCACTGCGCCATGGAGCCGTTAGATATTTATATTTATATCTCTAATTAACAGTTACTGGTGCCTTTTCTCCTAAGGAGTTCACCTGGAAAGGTGTCGATCTGAAGAGGCGATCCTGCACGTGTTCACAGACTGCAGACTTCCTGGAGCGTTATTTGATCGCCCCCGTCGCTACATTAGATTTTATAGACCACAAATCCTCGCTAAAGAACACCGATTCCGTCCAAGGATGATTCGTGAGGCTATTGAAATTGAAAAACATCCTAATTTCAATAGAGACGATGGCTGGGTGCTATCACCTACTTGGAATCTTTTTAGGATTTTGATGGGACTTTCACTACTTTAATTTTAGAAAAAGAATCGTCGCGGGGAAAAGCTAGTTTTATATTATAAACTAGCGACACGCCACGACTTCGCCTAGTACTCGTAAGTATTTTTTTTTGTCTTAAAATAATGGTGACAAGTGAGCATACAACCCATCTGATGGTAAGTGGATGCTGTGACTCATAAACATCTACATCTATCCTTTATTAAGAATCAAAATGTTGCATTTCCCCTTAATACTAAGATGGAATGCCTTGTTTTCAGTAAAAAAAGATCTCCGGTTCAATCACCATACGAAACACAGCAGCATAGAGCTGCTATTTTGCGCTAGTATTCTGTGAGAGCATGGTCCTGCCCCGGTCGTGCTGACCCATTCTTGCCACAAACATAATATAGCTGAAACATGACACTACCACTTATTGATGTAAAAACATATTACCTAGTATCTATTAATGTGGCGATAGTTAAATATAAGATAATCAAACACCATATTTTATCAAGTTTCCGTTTTTTCTTTAAAAAAATCTGGTCCTAGATCACTCCTACCATTGCTCTCTATCTGTTTGGGAAGTTTTATTACAATCGGTTCAGCTATTCGAAGATTATAGCCCGGACAAATATACAGACAGACAAAAAATTTAAAAATTATTAGTCGTGTCTTACTGGCATGTAAAAAATCCCTTTAGCTCAATAAAAAGCAGTCATTTCGATAATACGAAAAGACACTTCAATTTTATTTATTTGTATAGGTTATGTTCGAAGCTTTCTTATTGACTACATTTGTACATAACATTAATAATAGTACTGTAGGTCAGCTTCAGCGATGTCGGCCAAAACATTCGTCGGTTTTATCCCTAAACCTCAAACGTTTGACCTGCCCTACCGAGGTTGACCATCTGGTTGAGTTTTTATTAATTTATTTTATGTATGGTATATTCAACATATACTAAATATTATACAACATATTTATAAATCCCAACCGGACGTAAGTATTATCATAACAAGCCTAAAAAAAACCAATGTTTTTGCTCTAACAATCTTGCATTGACATACATATACTCATATGCACTGTTTGTTCACTTTGTATTGGTTCTATGAAGGCTATGAAGTAATGTTGAGAATCGACACCATAATAAGCAACTATTCGCGTTGTTTTATAGCAAAGTTTCGTAACTGTTGTCAAAACCTACGCTTACTCCATTTAACGCCCTCGTTTACATGTGAACTGATTCCGACAAATACATTACGCGCAAAAATAACTTAGAGTTGAGTTATTTCAACAATTATTTATGAAAAATGCTAAATTAATTATAGTACATTGCTATAAAAATATTGCAATTTATAACGAGCATTTGCGGGTGTCAAGAAACATATAGTAGTTTTTACTACAATTACCTTATATTTATGAATGTTGAACCCTGCTACAAGTAAGTGTTTATTACAATTTCATAGGTAAAATCTAATATTTAAACAACTCGCATTGAACATGAGCTGTGATGAGAATACTAGGTTATAATGCTACGCCTTTAAAATTTCAGAAAAATATATTATTTCAAAAAAGAATATCCAGCCGTTTGTAAGTGGTTTAACGGTGGTAGAGCCCCGCAGCAGTTTTTGCTGTTGCACGTATGGGCCAGCTCGAGCCGGGTTGGTACCACGACCTCACAGAATACCGGCGTGAGGTAGAGGCTCTGCTTCTGCGTTTCGTCTGTTGAGTGCAGGTGGCCGGAGGCCCAATCCCCCCCCCCCATCAACATGGTAGCGGAATTACACAGTAGACTACCCCAGGAGGGTACCAGTACCCCTGTAGAATCCCTCGCTGAGCATCCACGACCATGTTATTCCAATCCTGAGCGTGGGTGCTCAGGCTGCCCCGCGTATTCTAGGGTGGGCAAAATTCCGCTCAAAAACAAAACTGCTCGGGGCAAACTGAGCAACAATACCAAGGCGACCCCTGCCACGCTATCCGTGAATTTCTGCAACAACAGGGGACTTCACTCTAACCTAAACGCCGTCCACTACCATCTCGAGACGGCGAAGCCGGCCTTGCTCTTTCTGACCGAGACGCAGGTTTCCTCTCCGGCTGATATTTCGTATCTCTCCTACCCGGGGTACAAATTGGAGCACTCCTTTGTGCCTCGGGCTGGAGTTTCCGTGTACGTCAGAGAGGACAACTGTTCTCGACGCCTCGGCAGTCTTGAAGGTTCGGACCTGTCCATCCTTTGGCTACGCGTAGACAGCGACGACCATCCGCGCGTCTACGGGTGCCTCTATAGGTCCCATAGCGGTAATGCCGAAACAGACCGACTCATCGAACACGTCCAAATGGCTACAGATTCCTTGCTACAACAGATTCCATCCGCAGAGATCGTGATCCTTGGCGATTTTAACGCCCACCATGCCGAATGGCTCGGTTCACGTTTAACCGATCATGCGGGGAGATCTGTTTATGACTTTGCCTTGGCATATGGTCTGACACAACTGGTTACTTCGCCTACGCGGATTCCAGATGTGGAGGATCATACACCTTCCCTGTTGGACCTTCTGCTGACCTCTCATCCGGACGGATGTCAGGTTTCCGTCGATGCCCCTCTCGGCTCTTCGGACCATTGTCTGATCCGGAGTATGGTGCCACTCACGCTTCCTTCGCGGTTGCGTTCTTCAGGTTGCCGCCGTGTTTGGCATTACAGATCGGCGGATTGGGACGGAATGCGGTCTTTCTTTGCATCCTACCCATGGGGGCGGGTTTGCTTCTCGCCGGATGATCCCAGCGCTATTGCTGACTCTGTCACTGATGTGGTGCTACAGGGAATGGAACTATTTATTCCATCATCTGTGGTACCCATCGGAGGCAGATCTCAGCCTTGGTTTGGTCGCTCCTGTAAGACTGCATTGCGCAGTAAGCAGGAGTGTTATCAAGCCTGGGCTACGGCTTCGGTGACTCGGGATGTAAACACCAGCACATTAAAAAAGAAGTATAACTTCGCCTCCAGGTCCTTCAAAAGAGTTATTGCCAAGGCAAAGTCAGAGCACATAGGCAGAATTGGCGAGAAACTAGTTCTCCTTCCTTCGGGAACCCGTGCATTCTGGTCTCTCGCCAAGGCTGTCCAAGGGAATTTTTGTAAGCCATCGCTACCATCTCTGCACAGGGAGGACGGCTCACTGGCCCAAGACGCAAAAGACAAAGCCGATCTTTTAGGCTCCCTTTTTGCGTCCAACTCGACTCTTGATGACGGGGGGAAAATACCGCCGACCATCCCGCGGTGTGAGTGCTCCATGCCGGATGTGGTATTCTCACAGCGCTCAGTTCGCAAAGCACTTCTCTCCCTGGACATCCAGAAGTCGAGTGGGCCTGACGGAATCCCCCCAACTGTGCTGAGGACGTGTGCTCCAGAGTTGGCACCGGTCCTAACGCGTCTTTTCCGGTATTCCTACTCCCAAGGCGTAGTCCCGAATTCATGGAAGACAGCTTTTGTCCACCCGATCCCTAAAAAGGCGACCGCTCAGACCCGTCCAACTATAGGCCTATCGCGATCACCTCCTTGTTCTCCAAAATAATGGAATCCATTATTAACTGCCAGCTCATCCGGGCCTTCGATCGGGTTTGGCACAAAGCGCTTCTATCGAAGCTCCCTTCCTATGGGCTTCCCGAGAAATTGTGCAATTGGATCACCAGCTTCCTTGCAGATCGGAGCATCAAGGTCGTTGTAGACGGTGCATGTTCTGATTACAAGCCTATTAACGCTGGTGTTCCACAAGGCTGTGTGCTATCACCAACGCTGTTTCTTCTGCATATCAACGATATGTTGCTAACTGGTAACATTCATTGCTATGCG